TCCTCATAAAGAGGAAACCTCAAATTGTATTTGAATATTGAGATTTACCAGCTGAAAGAAACAAAACTTTGATAACTCACAGGGAAAATCTCAACATTTTAAGGAGTTTTTCCTCCAAAAGGACACAGATTTATATCTTATTGATTATGAAAGCTTGTTATAGGAAACTGATAGTTGTTAACTCATGATTTGTTTGATTTATGTACATAAATGATTGCATATCATTATGGATCAAATTGAACATATCTTGTGTGTCCTTTTCACTTCACACAGTCAAGAAATTAACGAAGAATAAGAAATTCCTTGGTAAATAATTTCCTCATAACCTTGTGGATGAGAGATGTGGGAAAGGCTTATATTCCTATAAGCCAGATCTTACATATTGGTTTTTTTGTTATTGTTGCTACTGCTCAAAAAAGTGCTTCAAAATTTAGTTTTATGATTAAATTTCACAGTTCATTCAAATGATACATTAATAAGGCTTTTATTCATTATATTTTGACAAAATGTAATTTATGTTAACATTTTAATCAAAACACTATTTGCCTTTTTCTCCATATACAACTTTTAGACTTAATCCTCTTTTCCATGTGACGGTCACATATTTATACTTCTCATCCAAACACAATTAAATTCACTCTATCCAGGAGACACAGTTTATCAGGATAGTATTTTTAAACTAATAACTCAGAATAAAATAGGAGTAACAACTTTCTACTTCTTACCTTTTTAAAAAATGTAGTGAGTAGAAAGTACAGATAATTGTGTAAAAATGTAATGAGTAAAAGTAAAAAGTACGCTGAAAAATAATTACTCAAGTAAAGTACAGGTACCCAAAAATTCTACTTAAGTACAGTAACAAAGTATTTGTACTTAGTTACTTTACAACTCTGAGTATCAGTTATACAGGCTGGTAGTAGAACACATTTTTTTATCTGAAAACTGTAAGTACAAATACAAGATGTGGAACAACTAACAGAACAAAATGATGAAACAACAAACCGTCAGGCAAATCAAACAATCCAGTTGTATTTCCACAACATGACATTGTGTTGCTGGACATGCACGTGTGTGTTTGCTTAAACACACATGTGGCATAAACATCTTTACAGAGATATTGTTTGCAGCTGAAGCACAAAGTGTTTGTCGTCTCTGTCCTTATTTGTGTAGCAGACCTGGTTTCTCTTTCTTTAGAATCAGGATAACTCAGTGTGGTCCTACAATGCAAAAAACTGTCCATCTTACAAAGTTTTAAAATCTTATATCAGACAAAAAGTCTTTTTGATCTTGTTTTCAGAATGTGTAAGATTATTTGTCTTGTCAGTGTTATGAATCTCAGGCAGGAATGAAAACATGATGCNCCTCTTCATCACCACTGTGACTCAGCATCAGCTGCCAGATGTGGACTTGTTAAAGCTCATGTACCTTCCTGGATGGAGACACAACATTCCTGAAGGATGAAAAGTCACGTTTCAGCTTTCATGTTTCTTTCTTTGTGAACAACAGTTTATAAACAGAGTTGTTTACAGTTTTTCACATGTTGACACTTGGTTTTTCACTCATGATTTCATGTTTTCACCAAACAAACAGAAGAGAAGACAGACGTGTGACAGTGATACAGCCCGTTCAGTGTGTGTGTGTGTGTGTGTGTGTGTGTGTGTGTGTGTGTGTGTGTGTGT